AAATTCATTTAAAGGCGACTAAATGGGTTCAAAACATAATCGACCGCTAAATGCATGCTTCAAATTGAGCAATTCTGCTGGCAAATTATTAGTAGGTCATAGCAGAAGGAGAGACGAATGAGAGTGTAAGAACCGGTCATATTATCTGCAACCACATATATCCATTTCCAGTTCGTTTCTTAAGCATTTATGCAGAAAGGACAGTCACAAAATAATCTATGAACCTATGCTAAAAAACAATACCACGAAAAGGTTGAAGACCATCGAGAAGTAGCATTACTTAGGGTGTAAAGACGGAATAAATTACATTCACAATATAAAATTAACTCGAAGTCCAGCTGTGAAGAAGGTCTCTTTCAGTGACTAGAATAGCCGGTTACTTAGCATTTCTGCCAATGAAATACTGGGGAATGGTTCTTTCGCTTTTACTGAAAAACAAATTCGATCAAGTTTCTTCACAAAATTCCATTCCACTGGAAAAATCAATTATTCGCATATTTTTTACTGTTGTCAATTAACAAAAGTTTATAACAGAATCTAATTATAAAAGAATTACTCAAGATAACCTCAATGAAAGCATTGTGTGAAGATAATCGATTTAAACTTACTGACGCCACAGCGATACCGAAACAAGTTGCAACACCAATCCTGTAAGCTATCTAGTAAAAGAAAAATATCAAAAGACTAACAATGTAAATTAAAGCCCAAGTGAAATCAAATAATTTGGGATGCACACTCTGAATTCAATTAGACTGAATATTTCAGAAAGAAGACTTTGAGACTAAAAGCCTACTTCATTGCCGAAATCACTGCTGATTCAACTTTGTGTACTTCCCTGCGCCTAACATCTCCCTCTAATATCTTTGCACATGCTAAGGTTCAGGTTTTATGAGAATATCGGAACATAGGAATTTAGCTGAGTGTGGAATCCCTGACCTCAAAATGATGAATACATGGGATGGAGGTTTATCAGGCAAATTACGTGCACTAACACACAGTGATAAAACACGCTTGGACAGAGTTAAAGTTTTAAAAATCAATATAGTTATATGAGGGGGGGTGCAAGTTGATCGTTGAATCTTTGTTCAACGGAACCTTATCCATTACATGCCATAGAAACGAAGAAACTCTGACACAAGAGATAAAGACGACATTACTATCACAAAAATCAGAGGGTAAACAATCAGAAAACTACATAAAGGAAGTTTCACAGTTTTATAAGTACCTTGTGCAGCGAGTTACTTTCAAAACATTTATTTTTATTTTTTTTATTTTTTTTTATTACAGCTTGATTCCACACTGTATTTTTGGTACAAGTATGGAATTTTCAGCGTGGATATCGGTAGCCCAAATTTTTCAGGCTGACCATAGACATCAGGTGTGCGTAGGCGAGGGCTCGAACCTCAGACCACGTGCATGGTCGGCGAGAGTCCTAACCACTGTGCCACCGACGCACATCATTAGTAACTGGCACTGAATCAATGTGTCCCTTAGTGTTCTTCTTAGAGAATTAGGTTTGTTTGTTAAATACATATTTAATTCGGTGAGGCTTCAGAAATATACGATCTAGTGTTGACCCTGACGCGCTTTTCGATTAACACTCTAGAATTACTCAGTTACATAAAAGTCTTGTTTCTGTGGAATTTCTCGCCAAGTAGTTGTGGAATTTATTGAAATTATTTGCCTTTCGAACACTGAATCTTTGGATATAATATTGTTGACCGATACCACCTATAACTATCTGCTAGCCATTTTATGACTGTCTAGCACTAACTAATATCTATAGGTGTATATATTGATGGATCTAAACGTCTAAGTCGGCTCAAGTCAATGAGTATTTGATTTTGGTATCATTTTTGTTAACTTTATCTGGCTGCGATACTATTGCTAAGGTTTTTTATTGCTGTTGTCGCTTGTTGCTCTACCTGTTTTTAATTATTTTCCTTTTGCTGGTGTTCTTCCGATTGTTTTATTCCTTGTTTCCCACATTTTAAGAGGAGCAACCCGCAAGGTCACTTCTCAGTAATCTATATTTTAATGTGACACCCCCCCTCTCAGGTGTGAGGCTAGCAACTCCACCCTACAAACAAAGCTACTACAGAAACTTCAGTACAATGAATCTCCTTGCGCCAAAAGAGAAAGTGTGTGTGGGGACATGGAACGTCCACACCATGTACGAGATTGGCAAAGCTGCCCAGATCGCAAACAAGATGAAAAGATACGGAATTCAAGTACTGGGAATATGTAAAAGCAGATGGAACATGAATGGACCCATTAAATTGACGACGGGTGAGTTAGTGATCTACTCCAGTCACTCAGAAGATAACCAACCACCCGCACACCAAAGGTGTGGCTATCATGATGTCACCAACAGCAACGAAAGCCCTGATGCAATGGGAGGCGATCTCGTCCAAGATAATGACAGCCATATTCAGCTCCAAAGGAAGGAAAGTGTCAATTATACAATGTTATACACCCACAAACAACGGAGACCTCGAAAAGAAAGAAGAATTCTACAGACAACTACAGGCAACAATGGAAAATACTCCAGTTGGTGACATTAAAATACTAATGGGAGACATGAACATCAAACTGGGACCAAACTCATCATGAGTAGAGAAACTCTCGGAGAAATGAATGAAAATGGAGAACTTTCCGCCGGATTCAACGCCTTCAATGATCTAGTGATTGTTGGCAGTGGATACAAACACAAGAATATCGACAAAGCTATATGGGTGTCACCAGATGGACGAACAAAAAACCAAATCGACTTCATCTCAATCTCAAGGGAGTGGAGGCTACGCCTACTGGACACAAAATAAGGAAGAAGTGCAGTCGTTTGCTCAGACCGCTATACCATACAAGGGGCAATCCAAATCAAATTAAAAGCTTTCAGGGAAACAGAAGCTGCGGATAGACCGCAAGCCGAGTTCAACACTCAAAAACAGAAGGACCAAGATACAAAGGACATATTCACTGCAAGCATAAGGGAAAAAGCCGAGACACAAATCAACACAAGAGAAGAGATCAGCGTCGAAAAGCACTGGGACAACAACTGGCTAAGAGAAGAGATAGGACAAACAGTGGCTCACCATGGACACATGGAGAATGACAGCAGGAAGAAGGATGCTGAAACAACAGATTGTCCAGTGCGTTGACCAGCAACAATAACAGAAGCTGAATGCAAGCTACAGCACTTTGAGTAAAAAAGGTTTCAAGGAAGACAAATGAGAATTTTATAAAGCTATGACAAATGAAGCAGAACAAGCTGCAGGCAAAGGAAACATCGCAACACTCTGCCAAGCAACTAGGTATTTATCAAGGAGTAGTCCAACACAAATAAGGCAGTGAAGGGTGACAATGAAAGCCAATCACCGAACAGGTGGGGCCGAGGAAACACAGGGCTGAACACTTCAAAAGACTTCTGAATCGACCGCCAACTACAACGCGCCCAATAATACCAACAACGGAAGCAAAAACACCAGTGAACATCAACCCTCGACGAGAACAGAAGTCATGAAGGCAATCAAAATGCTGAAAGCTGAAAAAACAGTAAGAACAGACAGGATCCAAGCAGCAGCATTGAAAATGGACCCAGAGACAACAGCGGACTTGATGGCACCACTACCAGAGAAGGTGTGGTAAAAGGGCAAGGTACCCGAAGATTGGAACAAAGCTTCTTGTTAAAACTAAAAAAGGAGACTCGAGTAAATGCAAAAACTGGCGCAGAATCACGCTACTGTCCATCCCAAACAAAATACTGAACCGCATCATCCTTGAAAGATTCAAATAAGCCCTGTATGAAGAAATTCGATCAGAGCAGGTTGGGTTCAGGAGAAAAAAGTCATGTTTTGATCAAATCGCCACACTGGGGAACATCATTGAACAAAGCTTGGAGTGGCAGTCACCTCTCTATCTCAACTTCATCGACTTTGAAAAGCCCTTCGATAGCTTGGCGTTGATCTCGAGGTGATGAGGCGACTACCTCGCTACTATGGGGTGCCGACAACAATTATATATCTTATCCAACAGTTGTACGACAGTGCTGCATGAAAAGTAATCCACAATGCGAAACTGACGAAATCTTTCGAATTGAAGACGGAGCTAAGGCAATGCTGTCTACTATCGGGAATGATTTTCCTGAGTTCGGTGGACTGGATAATGCGTTGTTTCAACTAGAGGCGGAACTGACGACTATATCAAAGCAATAATCAAAGGAGCAAGACAAGCTTTCATTGCTCCCAATTCTGTGTGGAGGTCAGCAGCACTCAGCATGAAAAACAATATCCGGATTTCTAACTTCTATGTGAAATCAGTGCTACTATACGGATCACAGAACTGGCGCGTCATAAAGAGCATCTCAAACAAACTACACACCTTCACCAACAGCTATCTTCGCTCATTATTCAAAATCAAATGTCCATAAAACATCAGCAACAGGGATATCTGGGAGAAAACCAACCGATTGTGCAACAAATAAGCAGGAAGAAATGAAGGTAGATTGGCCATACTCTGAGGAAACCATCAAGTGGCATCACTAGAAAAACCCACGATTTGAACCCGATAGGGAAGCGGTGAGTTGGTCGTCTAAGGATGACTTGGAGGAGGTCGTATTAAGAGGAGATGAAAGTATGTAATCAGACATTGAGCCAGGTGAAAACTTTAGCAGAAGACGGAACACAAGAGTGACGTCCGCCTGAAGCCTACTGTTCCTCTAGAAATTAAAGGAAATAATAATAATCACATATATGTACCTGTGGATATTTATGCATGAACTACGCTGTGACAAAATTCTGTCTTTTTTAAAACTTACGTGTTTGTCATTTTTTGATATTTGAACAATAAACAGGACAGTTCCAATGATTAGTGCAATAACCATAAACACAAAGATGATAATGGTTAGGATAATGGAACTTCGTACGTTCACAGCTATAATGATCACGAGTGCAGTCACCACTAGTGTTACACCACTGGATATCAAGGCGTACATAGAAACGATTTCACAGAACAAAGTGGCGAATCCCATTGACAACAGTATGTACTAGAAGCGTATACAGTATTATGTTAGTACGTTGTGATAGGGTAAAATTGTAAATATAAATGTTTATAAATATATATATGATGGTAGAAGAAGAACAAAGAATGTGTGAATGACCTTCAATAAGTGATTCATTTTTTTTAATTTTCCTAATTATTTCATAAATGTTTCGTTCCCAGTGGAAAAAAAGCTTCAAGCTAGAGGCTTGAAGTTTCAGTAGAAGTGGTATTCATTCTATGGGAAAGGATTACTAGCCTCATTGTTTAACCTTATTTCTTTATCAGTCTAGTTATTGGCTTAGCGAGGTGACGGAGTGCGTCAGCCAGCGTTTTAACTCGTGGTGGTAGGGCATTCCATGATGTGCCACGACACCTTCATTTAGTCAAAACACATTGTATTTTTACATTCCTAACCACAACAACGTTCGTTAACGTGAGGTGACTTTACATTGTCTTGATCAGTCAGCAACTGACCTAAATTTGAGCAAGTTTTCCATTGGGTTTATTTCATCTCCGCCATGTAAACAAGATTTAGATTTCAGGTACAGATAATTTCATCTATGCAACCAATGTTCATAATGTTAATTTCAGTCGTAACTGTTTCCTGTGATTCTGTATGACGCCATAGATATATACATATAATGTGGATAGTTCAATGTTTAATTAAAGTCTTTGTGAGATGCTTTTTTCCCAAAATGGATGTTGTTAATTTCAGCATGAAACCTTAAAAATTGTAGTCGACGAGTGACTAAACAATGTCAGATGACACGTTTTACACAAACGTTTGTCGCATTTTCTTCAGTAATGACAACACTCCACGGAGCGTTTCAAATATCATGAATTGGGATTCATTCTCCAACACTTTTGCCTCGAGGAAGAAAGGATGTGTGAAGGATTCTGGAAGGATATCTCTCTCTGTGAAATGACCGTCTTTGAAGTGTTCTACTAATTCAACGAATGTATATCCTCTTCTGGCAAAATTCTATTTTGAGTATCTTTGCCGAATCCAAAACGTTGAAAGGAAAGCTTACGGGGTTCTGAAAATATCAGGTTTGTTCGATGGGAAAGATATGTACTACTGAAATAGATATCACAATCGTCATTTTAAGAATACCTGCCCTCTTAGGTATAGGGAGGAGATTTTAGTTTCACAAGCTAAGATATTTTATGGTTTCTTCATCAATAAATTTGTTACCTGGACTAATATTTAGTGTAGAATGTCAGTCTGTGTTCTATATTAGTAGATAACATCTACCTCAACTAGAAATTCGGAATATATATCTTAGATATTCACCTCGTATTTAGTTAAAGACTTTGTTAATCACTTAACGTTGAATCTCTTAAACATTATGTGCGTAAGATAAATGTGCTGTTATTATACGGCTGCTTCGTTTCATCACTATTTTAAATACCTTAACACGCAATACTTCAGGCAGAATGGCATCCATATCTATGTAAGATTATTGGCATACTTACGAAAAATATACTAAGTTGTATTTGTCTCGTAATAAAGTGATCAAATTACTTAATAACATTCGACAGTTTCAAAGCCGGAGTCATTATCGATCTCTCAGAAATCGTTCAATACGTGATACAACGTCAATATCCATTCATCTCTAAGGACAGTCAATCACAATTAGGCAGTCATGAGATGAGCTGAATCTATTATCCATGACGTATCCCAGTCATTCTGAAGCCAACTCCTAGTATATAGTCCAGGAGAGAAAGAAATAGAAAGCTATCAGGCAACATCTGGGATGCAGAGATATCGCTGTTGGACTGGTATGTAGTTAATTATCCAGTATAAAATAAAGGAGACAGGTCTTTCTGTGATAACTATAGGGGATTAGCTTGGTTAATATAATACCTAAAATTCTTGGTTCAGTAATCATGCGTAAAATGAGTGGTGCTGGAGAGAAACAAAAGCGAGAAAACCAGACAGGTTTTAGACTGGACAGAGGTTGGAATGATCATATCTTCACCCTTCGACAGATTCTGGAACATAGGCATACTTAACGACGTCCAATAATCTTCATATTTCTTGACCTGAAAGCGGCATTCGGTACTGTCGACCGACGGGTTCTCTGACGATGTGTGGCTGTGAAAATAAAGAAGGAAAACACATTGCACTGATCAAGGCACTCTACTCGAACTCATGCAGCCAGGTGAGAGCTTACGGTGAGTTGTCATCTGAACTGGTGACAACTAGTGGCGTCTAACAGGGATGTTCACTATCCCCATTTCTATTCAATTTCATCATAGATTTTTTAATGAACTTAACCCTAACTCAGTTCAGAGACTCAGGGATTGACTTGATATCAGGGAATAATCTCGTTGACTAAGAGTATGCAGATGATATAGTCTTTCTTGGGGAAGACACTGATAAAATGTAGTCTTATAAACACCTACAGCAGCAACGTTCGATTGTCTACGCTGAAGAAACAGTTAATATACTCAAACTCTGTTTTACGAGACTGTGTGCCTGAATTAATTCGCTGTATCAATCACACTGTCATTGACGGTAAGTAGTTGTGACCTCTCTCTATGTCTCATTCTTATACTGGTGCCTCTCATCGAGGCGACTACCTAGTCACACTTCCTAATACGATATAGTGCACCAGTTTCACGGGGAAACATTCATCCATACGTGCATACCGACGTGTACAGGTTTTTGTATTTAGTAGTGACTGTAAATCATTTTCACACGAGTCATATTCATATGTACGTAAGTTTTGTTTTGATTTAGATTACTGCGATTTCTGTGCCACTTAACATTTAACGCATTTGTAATATATGTCATTATCTTTGTATTCACTCTAAGATATTAAAAGAAACACCAACTATGATGAGAATGTATACGCATGTACTGCAGTCTTTAAACCCGAAAACAACCAACGTTATGGATTAAGAACATTTGTTTTCATTAGGCGTTGAGATATTTACTGAATAAACAGTTCAACAATAGAATAAAATACTTACACTGAATCCTATTAGATAATGGTCGATTTCCCGGCCATATCCAAGTGCCTTGACTAACATGAGAATTAGAATTGGAACACATCCTAAAACTCTGAAAAAAGAAATGGCACAGGCGAAGTGATGAACTGAGAAATCATTTGTGTGTTAACAATACTGAGGAATTATGGTGAAATCGACACATTCACCCGAGAATAAATGTGACACCCTTCGTGCAAGCAAAGCGGATTATGTAATAACAGGATACTAAACAAGGGACATGCGTCTTGTGCACCATTTCGCCCCTTCCTCCTTTATGACTGTGAGACTTGGTCATTGGAATCGGAAGATATGCAGCTGCTACCGAGGTGTATTTGAACATACTTATCTGCACTATCTCCCCGTGATAGGTGGTATATTATGATAAGTGGCATTGGGTGTAGGCGCCTGATATTAAGCTAGGAGGGAAAGTCAATCAATGAGGTTTCGGACCAACGCTGATTGAGATGGCCTTGCATGCAGTAAGTAGCCCTGGGAAACGCCTTCACCGACAAATGATACTAGCTGACAGAGGATTAGGTTGCAGAAGATTCATTGGTGGTATAAACGAAGCTAAGAACCAGTCCATAAATCTACGGCAGTTAGTTTGAGCCAACCACGTCAGGAGGTGAGGGCTTACGGGTTCATATTATTGAGATACTAAAGATTATCGACATGAGACAGCTTTTAATATGACTCAATATCCATTGCGTTGCGAAAGATGCACTCACAATTTGTGATTTCAAATAACCGTCAAACCATAGCGTTCCTCCACGGAAGCATTCTTTCTACCTCAATTTTCTGCTGAGAACAGTCATTTTGAATTCTTATTTTCCCTCTCATTCTTTCTATCCTTTTTGCTTCATGAAAAGTGACAGGTGGAACTTCAACGCCAGGTCCTCTGTTGAAACGCAGTCAGTTAGCAACAAAATCAGGATGGTAACTTTATTAGTTAACTGTGGTGACGTGGTAGCATTAGTATGCAATTTTAATATTACTATAAAATGCGGAATAATAATTCCGAAGTTCGGAAGGTCCTCCAAAAAAGACGAGCCAGAAAATATTCTAGAAAGCAACCAAACAATTACTGCTGAAAAAGAAGAGTGGCGCTTGTCCCACAGGTTGACACGGAGCACTTACGAGAAATGGATAAACATCAAGACGCACTTGGAAAAAGATTGTGGAGAACAGGATGAACTGCAAATGCACTAATGTAGTCCAGTGTTCTTCTCGGAACTCTGAAGTCTCTCAATATCACAATATGATCGATAAGCAAACATCTGACGAAACAATTGAAAAACATTAAAGTGCTCAACGTGTTTATTTATCATACAAAAAATGTACTTATATCAGAATGATTCTCACCCAACTGTTCAATCTGATCCATTCATTCACCTCCACTCTGAAGAGCATTAAATTATTTTATATTATCTTATAATTAAAATGTTTGTTCCTACTCATTGTTCACCATTACAAGCATTCCTACTGTAATTAGTACCATTAACGCCGTATCAGCTATCATCTGTGTGAGGCAATATTAAGGAGAATGAAAACAAAACAAAATATTGTTTTCTTACCCAGAGTAAGAATAAATTGTGGCCACTCAAGTGCAGTTTTCTCGAACTGTCATATCTCGCGCCTTCGCCTATAGATAGAGTTCGATGAAATTCATTAAAGAGAAACGATGTTTTTAAGGCTGAATGGATTCAATAGTGACTAGTGCATAATGAGAAGGGGCATGGGGAACAGAATATTTAAACACTTGCTAGCATAATAAGATTTACTCACCTGAAATAACTAACTGGCAGTCTGTTGTTTCCACTTCAGTGGGACCTGAACTCTGAAAGACCAGACAACTTTTAATATGATGCATCAGAAAGGTAGCAGTGTTGGTTTCTGATTCCATATGTATTGCGGCAGTGGTATAATTATAAGTTAGGTCTCATTCAGAATTCTGTAAAGAGAGAAGCAGTTACCTGTATTTCAAGAAGGAAGCATATATATTTAGTAAAGAACAGATAGCTAGAACCAAATTTGTAATCAGTGGTATCTCACACTTTTTTTGTAAGAAGAGGGCGAAACTTTTAAATGTTTGCCTATTATCATACCAAAGAAGGAGAGGTGACTTGATTATGTCATACCGCATGTCAGAGGCTGGTTTGGGAATTGGCCTTTCTGAACTTTTCTCTTTCTTCAGAATATCTTCCCAGGTGACCTGGAAAATATGCTCAAACTGCAGATGAATAAGAAACCAGTGAAATTAGGCTTCTCTCATAGAGTAGTCAATGACTGGAATTACTTTCCCGTTCAAGTAGCATCATCTATGTCAGTGAACAATTTCTAAGCTAAACTATGTGTCTGCATATGAGATTCTCTCATGTGATTCTACACTTCTTTGTTATACGAATCAATATAAGGATCACTAATAATAAAACATATTAGACCTAATTTCTCCCCCAGGTGGTTGATAAACACTAGGGTATGCTGAAGTTAAAATGTAAGCTATACGATGGGGCTACGTTTGATAATGAAACTTTGTCTTTTTAGTTGTGTTCTTTCGGAGTTTGGGTATTTCAGACCAACGTTCAACCGAAAAATTTGCACCACTGGACTTTCCGCCCAACCTACATAAATGTCCTCTAAGACCGCTTTGAATTTCGATCGACCAGATAGTAACATGCCACTGGACCGACTTACCTCTGCCGATCGGAAAGACACGCGATAAGTAACCCAAGTGTCGTCTTTTCTACTCCATGTTTTTTGTCATTTTTATCAAAACCTGTCAATTGTCTGTTGGTCAACATGCATACCACATTATCCCTTGCACTTGATGTCTAAATAATTGTGTGAAATATCAGGACAATGTTACTCAGAAGATTCCCTAATGGAAAAAGTCACTCAGTGATCTTACTTTCAAGAATCTAATTAGATGTGATGCACAATTATTGTCAAGTATCATTCATGAGCATAAACATTCCTAAATATCTATCGGGTAGAGTACATACAATTTCATTAAAACTGCTAACATGAACAAGTTAATAAAGATGCAGATATTAACAAAGTTAAAATGTTTAACGGAGATTTAAATTCAGCTGTCACTCACAACTTACCTGTCTTTCTTTTGAAATCGTTATACCCATGAATAAAGGAGTTATTCAAGACTTTTATATTAGATTCATTCATTAAAAATTTAAAACCATCTGAACTTTGATCTCGATAATGAATAGACCGTTTTGTTCTGTGAAAGCTTTTTCTATACGTTAAAATATTTTTTTCACGTTTAATCGAATTTGATATCAAATTTTCATCGATTTTCTGATTTATTGTGATTTCGCCAGTTTATCGCCATGAATTCAAGATAACGTGATCGTTTGATGCTACGCCACGCTATATTACTAAGTACAAGTCTTGTGATACTACAGAGAGTGAAGAGCACAATATGTTACATTAAAATATGTCTACTCCATAGTAAAATTGTCATGATAATACTTTATCAGTGCGTTTCAGATACGCTATGTATATATATATATATATATTTATCAAGCGACTCGATAGACTGCAGGCTATATGGTTCCAGTGTGCCGAAGGGAAACACCGTAATCAGGGATCTCAACATCAACCATCACCGTAACAAATAGTGCACATCTTCTGTGACGAGTAAGAAGAGTTTGTCAGAGGCCTCTCGATGTCTAAAGTGACAGTTCAGACGCCTTACAACGATGCTTTATTTAGTGGATTTCAGTAGTTTTGACACTGAAAAATTATGTTCCAGCAACAAATAAGTGTTGAGCCTTCACCAAAAGTGGGTATGGTGAGTGCTATTTTCTGAAATTTGGTTTATACTAATGAGTCCAAATGAACACGTTAGCGGAAGTGATGATTAACCTAGGAAATTATTGCAACGACAATGAGGTAGGAGTAATTGCAAAAATCAAAGAATTATACTGTATAATGGGTAAGATTTTGAAAAATAGTAACTGAGGGACAAGTTAGTTTTCGAGTTGATTACTTAATAAATAATAGAAGATGAAGCGAACCGAATTATTAAGAAAACTACAAATTCTGAAAGGGTGGCGCTGAATTCTTCAGTTCCTTACATTCATGTAACGGTCGCTAGAAGAAGGTAAGCGACTGCACGACCTTTTTCTAACACACACAGGCTGGACTTTCTTCATGTGTATTAATATTGTGTCAGCTGTGCATAGAAGACGAACTCGTAAAGCAAATTTAAGATAAGTAGAAATGCGATAATCACCTTTATGATCTGTGTCTACAAGGTGTGCTAAAACAGAGCTATAAATAGATCTCGTAAGTCTCTTGCCTAACCATGCTGGATGATGTTCGAAAATACAGTGATGAGCCTGCAATTTACGTCATCGTATTTCAGTTGGCTTTTTGAACACAGCTTTAGATTTGATAATTACACACCTTTGTTTTTAGTTTTTATCAAACAGAGTTCTGAGTAAGAAATTTATTTCTCATTTAAGATGGGAATTTATTTCACGATATAAAGTGTAGATTTTATTTTGAGATAACTTCATAATTTGAGCGTTATTATCATAAAATAGCCAATCACATTTCATATAGTTTTCAATCCAATATTACTATTCAAGAAGCAAGTGAACACATACACATGAATGCAATCGAATATCTGTTCTTTCGTGTTGGCGCACTTTAAATATTGTTTCTAGAATATGGTACTGGTATTTGCCAGTTTTCTGAAATTCGTTTCACGTCACTTGTCTCCTTTGTATTGTAGTGTGCAAGTTCCACAGTAATTCGTGTTTTGCGCAACCAAGCACTTTCCATTTTGCATGAACAGACGACGGTTCGTATTCCCAGTGTTTTGAAATAAAAATAATGACATCGTCCAATATTATTTGACCCACCACAAACGCAGTTAAATTCGTATAGATGATTATAGGTGACCAGCTATTCCAAGTACTTCATCTTTCAATGAAGGAATCAACACCGGTCGTATTGATAATACAACTTGAATTTTGCGGCGTAAATATTCCTCTGAATAGATTCGCTCAACTTCGTATTAATTTCGCTAGGTATGACATTGAACTCATATAGGAAGCGGGAAGTTGGGCGTGACTGTGAGGAGGACATGGTAAAGACCATATGAGGAGGACATGAAGTCGTGTAGCCTGCTAAATAGGAGTGTCAACGATAGAATGAATTCAAGATTAACCCGGACCTCAGAAGAATACTAAATATCATAAATAACAACTCATTACATATTTGACTCAATTCCACTTTTTAAATCTGTAATAAAATTAAGAAGGTATTCCTGGACAATTTCAACTAACCTAAGATTATCGAATTTCGTCAGCAGGATGTCCTTTATAGAAAATTATCAACAAAATGCATTGGTGGAGTCAATGCATTATATATCTCTAAAATTTCATTGTAATCTCACGTTGTATATGCTTTTTCTAATTTCGAGTATCCGAATGTATTGATCTATGAAATAAGGGGTGAAATTTGTTAGCAAAATATAATTGTTTATCACACCAGTGGTCATTACAATATGTAATCACCCACCGTAATATGCTTCGTAAAAACACTGATATTGTGTCTGAGAATGAACGCAAGAAACCCGTTAGCAGTTATAGTCAGCAAAAAACAAGTTCCAATCGAACTTGACTTCACTGAAGATTATACAATGAGAACCGTAAAAACAATTGGGTGCTCCTCTGTGCAGCAAACCTGGTCATACTTCACCGAGTGTCCTCCTCGTTGGTGTAGTCAAAAGTCGGCAAGTACCAATTTTATGTCACCTGCAGCTGTTTATAATAACACCGTTGCTGCTTAAATAGTCTACTCAGTTTAAGTTTTTCGATTAACAAGCATCCAATAGACACAGAACAACGGGTAGGCGCGCCACCACCATTCAAAATAATTAGCAGACAAGATAGCGTAAGTCTTTTGCTGTTTGCTGTGCCTTTTGCAATAAAATAGCTGTGTCCTGACTTATGTATCAGAAAGGAATCTGACGTCGGACTCCAGTTAGCCTGGTAACTCATTCGTTAATAACTCTTTGTTTTCTAATCTAATTAACTTTTGACATCTATAAGGGATAATTCTCCTTGAACTTATGAATTCTATTCCCCATATTACATAACCGTGTTTCATATGGCCTATTGCACATCAAATATTGATCTTCTCTAATCTAAATTATGTAGGCAAGATGCGCAGTTTTGCTCAGTAAGCATCGTAGATTTGTCGTTTTGTGAAACTGTTACTATATTAAAACATTTCATGTTGTAGAAAACGGAAAATGTGTCAATTAATACATAATTCGTTCAATGAGTCGAGCAGAAATGTGCTATTGTATTACAGGTGAGAAAATGTTGATCGTTCATCTTTTATTTAATTCACTTTTAGTAAGAATGGATCATAAAGCGCTCCAATGGTTACCTGACGTTCATGACTTGATCTGAAGACCAGTAATACCTTCGGCAATGTTACTTTGAATGTATGCACCACTTTTGAAGATGAAACACAAATAATGTTGCGTTATAATGATAGTCATTCAGACCACACAAAGATTGTCTTGTCAGCATTAAAAATGACATTTGCATTATTCATCTGACAGCATTGAGTTGAATCAAGTATCAAAAGAACAGACGATTGGTTAGAACATTTATATGAAATAATGTACAGTCATGGTCGAAGACTGATTGAAACTGATATGAAGAGGATGAAGCACATCTTTTTATCTTGCAAGAGTGTCACTGTGGAAGTAAATAGCAAGTTAGTCATAGATGGCTTTTATAAGAGAAGCGTCTGTTTTGCAGAGTGGGCCAATACATCTAGTTACGTAATGCAGGTTAGCGCGTCTTAGTGTACCACTTCGAAATATACCTGTAGAATCTAACCTAACTTTTATTCATTTCA